TATATATATATATAATTTTTGGCTAATAGCAAATATACATGTTTTTACATCTACTTTAAAGTAATGAGTGTTCACATCTAGTTTAAAATAAACTAGTTATCTCTAAACACGGAATAAATAATCTAGTTTTGCCATCTGGTGTATAGATAAACATGATTCTGAGTATAAGGAATAGATTGTTTTAATATTTTTGACGTGTCACTTTTGAACACTATAGCCCGGAAAATACACGTGCATGAGAAATAGAGGGAGAAATTTCGTAATGGATGGATTTACTCGTATGCCATAACGCTCATCAAAAAACAATTATAATTTTTAGGACTTTTAAAACTTTTCAAAATGTATATGACATTAGAAAAAAGTTTCTTACAGAATTATAAAGTTATTAAGGCTTATTAATTTACAAAATTGCATGTTTGCTTACTTTATTTTCTCCATTGTCTAATTATTATTTATATTAGTTTATTTAAACACCCATAAATGTAGGCTTAAGCGCTCATTACAGATGCGGTTTAGAAGCCTATCTCAAGTTAGAGAAAAGATAGCTCAAATTAGAGAAGAACATCACAAAGATACATCCAGGATTGTGGCGGGATTCGAACCCGCTACCTTCTAGCTACAGAGCGTTCGGCGGAACGGCGAGACATCTAGGCTAGTGAGGCCCCATATTATCGTAAAATTATTTTACATTTATGTATATGTTATATTTATTTATATGAAGGTATGGTCAAAATTATACGAAAAAAAATTTAAATACGAAAATTCAATAGAAATGTTAACATTTTACTGTTAACATTTGTTAACAGTTAAGTGTTAACATTTAGTTAAGTGTTAACATTAGTTAAGTGTTAACATTAGTTAAGTGTTAACATTAAGTTTTACATTTTACTTTTTAATTTTATAACCAATGAGTTTTTGTGATAAATTATTACTCACCTGTAATGAATATCGGTGAATATTGCTATTCCTTCTAGACAAATTTCGACTTTCCTCTTTCAGTGATTGGCTCACACTCTCTTTATCTGACCTAATAATTAAAAAACAAATCAAAAAATACATAAATCAGTTCAAAAATTCTATCTTAACTTTAAGTATTTTTGAAGAATTCTTGCACTTTATTAACTTAAGAGGATTAAAGAATTAAATGTGAAACAATTAAATATCGGCATAGGTAACAACATTTCAGGAGTTCCTGAGTAAATATGACATCTACATTATTATTCTGTTACGCAAGTATTTCCTAATGAATGAATGACAAACACGACGGGAAAAAAACGATTCATGACATTCTGTATTATCGTGATTTTATTCTTATTTTAAGCACCTGAATGAATAATAGCTGGTTTTTATTGTTGGAAGGAAAAATTCTGAAAAAAGATAAAAAACAGTATATTTACATTTACTTCTTTTTATCCTTGCTTTATCGACGTGCCTACGAATTCGAACGTTTTTATTTATTTATTTTTTTTTTGGAAGCGAAAAATTAAGGGTAGTTAACAATATTACTATTATCATTTTTATTATAAGTTTAACATTCATGAATTAATTAAGGAACATAAGAATTTTTTATTCCATCGTACTTTTTTCTGCACATTTTTTGTAATTTGAAGTTTTGAAATCTTAATAGTACAACGAAAAAAAGTGTGAAAAAATTCGTGAAGAAAAGTAAATTGTACTAACTTTCAAACCTTTACTTTATAACTTTCATCGCATATTCCTTGTACATTTTTTCTACAGACCTTTGTAAGTTCAAGTCTTACAGGTTTTGTGCAGAAAAAAAATGTAACGTAAATTTGAACATCCAAAACTGCGGCAAAGGCGCAGTATTTGATGTTCGTGATATATTATGATATTTGAATATAGAGAAAGAATTTTATTATAAATAAAAAGTACAAGAAAACGGTACTATGCACATTTAAGAGAAATATCATGAAACAATAATAAATTGAAATAAAAATTTTAAAAACTGCATTTCTCAAGTACATTGACAAAGAGAAAATTTCGAAGAATTTTCGAAAAGGGTAGACGATAAGTGTTCATTCCGAAAACTATTCTCCTTGCGTTTTTCGTTTTGTCTGACAAAAAATTTTTTTTTCTTTTAGTTTACTAAAAACGTATTTTTTGAATTCTTATTTTTTATTATCAAAGTTTTAATTATCGATAAATTCATGAGAAAAGATATCGACAAAAATAATAAATTCCCTTGATCAAGGGTGGACAAATAGCTGCTTGTGGGCCATATACAGCCGGCTAAGAGCTTTTTTCTTTTTTGTGTGCTTGATCCAGCAAGTTAATCAGAAAAATTCGCTATAAACAGGATAGGATAGTGGTATAGGTGGAAGGGCATACACCCACAACGTTTTCGATAGTATCCCAGTTTCTGTAAATTTAGCACTTTTGCATAGACTGTAATGAGAATCTCTACAAGCAATTTCAATCCTGAACCCTCACTTCCACAAAATGACCCCTTCACGAAAACAATTGCCCATTTCTGCCTTAGGTGATAAATTATCTTTGTGGTAGTCAGAAAACGATTAGAACTTGTATTGTCAACAGACACAGAGAACCAGTGGAGATCTTAGAACTCTAGTTAGTTAAAAAGTGGTCAAAATTACCATGAATGATATTCCTGCAGTAATAATATGGAGATTAATTCTAGTTGTAACGGTAATAATATGCCCACAAAAGATCTAGTTCTTTGATTGAAAACTAGTGATTCGATTCAAATTATTGAAGGAAAAAGAATTCCAAAATTATCATTTAAAAAATCCTTTCCTAAAAAAATCTGCATTCTTCTTATTTTCAAATATCGCGTTTATTATAACTAGACTTTTATTAATTTTAATTATTTAATTTTTATCTATATTGAATGAATTAAATTACCATAATTATTGCAATGTAATTCCATTCCATCAATACTTATTAGTTCAATTACTGTAAAATATAATTAATTTAATTAATCGCTATTATTTTAATAATGCCATTTGTTTTACTTATGAGAACTAATTTATTAAATAAATGAGAGTTAGTAAATTTATGTTATTAAGTATTAATAAGTAACTTTTTAATAATAAATATAAGAGCCGTGGTTGCAAAGGAGATAGAGCACTCGTCTCCCAATGAGGTGACCCGGGTCCGATTCCAGCGATAGCTGGTCGATTTGAATTCAGCACTCGGCTCGCACCGACCACAGTGCTGACTTAAAATATCCTCAGTGGTAGACGGATTATGAATTAGAGTTCCCTTGTAGTCAGGCTAACCGTGGAATGTTTTCATGATTTTCCTCCCCATGTTACGCAAATGCGGATTAGTTCCATCAAAAAGTTCTCCACGAAGGCAAATTTCTCCAAATATTTGATCCAGGAGTTCCCTTATCTTCTAGATTCGGTTCAAAATTACAAGGCTACGGAGTTGAATATTAGTAGCCGTAAACCTTAAATTGGGTCGGTTGTTCAACAACGGTTATAAAATAAAAATAATACATTTTAATAGTTTATTTATCATTATTAATTAAAAAAAGGTTTATTTGGTATATTAAACCTTTTAATCTTCGAATTTCAAAAAAAAAAAAAATGTAAGCAAAATTATCAAGGGTTACTGACTTGAAAATCAATTAAAAAATTAAACCATTTCTAATACTAATGAGAGAATAGTTCTATGCGTATTATCTAGTAAATATTATAATATGAATAATTATAATAGAAGAAAATGTAAAATATACCTGTGTGTAGAATCTTTAGAATCATCATCATTATTAATGATCATGGATACAGAAGAGGTGTAAGATATTGGCGTGAAAACATGATGTTGAGGACTTTGACTGTTATCACTAAGCTCCAAGGAAACACTGTTTTCATAAATTGGACTCACACAATGAAAAACACTACTATCTTCCTTCGGCAGTTCGACATCTGTCGCACTTTTATTCAACTCCATAGAATTCAAAATTTTTAATAATTTCCCGAATTCCGGTGACGACGTCTTGCATTTATCAGGCTTTAAATGCTTATCCTGATTACTGTAAAGGTAGGATCTCATTGTCTTATCAAGAGGGGCGAAGTCGTGACACTTCTGTTCACTCGTGCTATTGCGATTATTATCGTTTTTATCATTTGATATCGATTTGGAAAGATTCCCTAAATTGGTAAGAAATTTCGAAAAGACGCGAATTTTTTTCTCCATCAAAACCTCGCGCTTGTTGTTACGAAAGAAAGCAGAGTCGTTAGAGTCTTGAAAACTGCGCTCGTCCACGTAAGACGATCGTCTATTTTGAAAATTATAGTTCAGATCCTCTTCCGAATTGTCTTTATCTTGAAGTGGATATGAGTTACAAGCTCTGAGGGGCATAGTTCTTCGATAGTTTGTTTCACTATTTATATATTGACTAGATGGCGACAAATTTTGGCGTAATGTTTCGTTATTCAACTCATTTTTTGAGGAAGATAGGAACTGTGTATTGCGTAAGGAAGATTTGTCTTGAAGATCTCTAACTACAGAAGTTCTTTGCTTTGGAAACGGATACACTTTGTATCTATTCAAACCGAAATCTCCTGATTTTGGTGAAGCAGTATGTTTAGAGGAATTTATTTGTCTAGAAACTGGAGAGTGGTAGGTATATTCGTTTGATAGTTTATCAGAGACATTGGTTCGTGTATCACAGCTTTTATAATCACATGAATTAGTAGTACAGTTCGACATTTTAGAGTACTCGTACCGAACGTCCGGCGTTGAGCTCCATTTATTGTGTATGGGATGACTGTTTCTGAGTTTATAAGAAAAATTCACGTCATGACTCAGGGGGCGTGAATAAGATGGATTGCAATAATCTCTTGGGACGTTTCGAATGCTCTCTGAATTCTGTGGATCCGATAAATATTCTTTAGAACTTGTTCTTACTCCATATCTAGAAAAACACTCACTACATCGGGGTATAGTAAAAGATTTCGAATGGAAGTTCGTTGGATAATGGCGAAAATCATTTGTCGTTTCTGTACACAAATTTTGAGTTGATTTTGAAAGATTTCGTTGATGAAGACATGTATTACAACCATAATCGTTCATAGAAACGGGACAAGAAAGGTATCTACCTCGCTTATGGCTTCTTTTATATTTTCTGTTAGGCAGTGATGTTTGTGTCTTTATTTCGTGGTTATCTGCAGTGCTATTCCATCTAGACGACCAGTAGGGGCTATCACAGGAATTTTGAATATCGTCACTTTGGCAACCATAAAAGGAAGACACATTCACCGCCGGTAAGCAGCAGCATGGATATATAATTGGACAACTCGAGATCATAGGGGCAGAAAAAGTACCACGAATCGGCTGCTTAGATTGCATGAAATTTGTCGGTGGAGAAAAACTAGATGAAGTACAACCTTGATTTTTCATTGGTTCTGGAACAATAGGAGGTACTTCTTCATCCCCATAGTTAAGCGAAGAGGACATCCTACGCAAAAGACGACGTTTCCGGTTGGGTAATTTGTCCTTTTCAGCATTTCTTAGAAGTTTAGAACTCTCGTTTTTAATTTTTTGGGAAACTGTAACAGTTGGTTTATCTGGAACATTTTTCAAAGAGCTATCATTAAGCAGGGTAGTGTAATCAAAAAATGTTTCACTGTTTTTGCGCTCATTATTCGTTGCTTTAGCATCAAAAGTGAAAACGTGACTAGCTGTGGGAGAGGTAGGTGATAAACTTTCGTCGTTAGTGTTCAGCATAGATGACAAGAAGTTAGATAACGAATCATCTCGTGTGTATTTAGGCTTACTTCTTTTGGAAGAGTCAGCCAAGTTGCTCACAGTTGCTGGACTGCACATTTCTATTGAAGATGGCGTTTCATATCCTATTGGCACAACTGACTCTTGCTCATGAGCATCATGAAAAGATTCAGAATCATCTTTCACACTAACCGATGTAGAGGAGTCGTAAAATTCTATTGAAGAATCTACGTTAACGGATTCTGTGTTGACGCTATCGCTTTCATCTGGTTTTTCAAAAGATTCAAAAACGTTGTCATTAAAGTTTTTAGAAAAATCGCTAGTTTTCAGCTCTCGTGTCATGGAGAAATTTCGCAAATTAAAAAATGAACCCTCTGACAATCGCCTTAACGGCTGTTTAATTATTGTAGGTTTTATAGATTCGTCTATATCAGTAAATGTCTGAAAAGAACAATCCAAGGGTTTCTTGTCGACTGAGAAATCGTCTGCGTTGGTCTGCGATATCTCAGCATTTTCGAACTCTTTTAGCTGAACACGTACTTCACTTTGCTCCTCCTTAACAATAGCTTTAGAAAAAGAATCATTATTTATTTCATTGGATGAGAAATCTAAATTAAGTGTATCAGCTAGTTTGGAAGACGAATCTTCCAAACTAGCGTCTTCCTGAATTTTTTGCTCGACAACAACTGAAACACTACCACTTTCACCATCATCTTTTCCTCCGACCGTTGGTTGGTTTGAATTTTCTAAACAACTCGTCTGAAAATCCCGAGAAAGCACGTCACATGATGGTGATTCTTCCAAAATATTTTCCTCATTATCTGCATCGATGCTAGCAGCCGAGACAAGTATTGCGATAGGACTAGTAGGGAAAAGATCATCTTCTGCAAACGATGAATTGTTGCTATCATTAGAAATAAGTTTGCTGTAACGAGATGATTCGGTTGACTCATTAACAGAAGATGGGTCATCGAAGGAAAATGCAGCAGGTCCTGTGTTCGATCGCAGCAACGGATAATTGTTGGGACAAGATAAATTACCTCTGTGAGATGGATCACTTTGAGAATCTTTACCAATACTAAGGTTTCTAAAGAGTCTTCTTTTACCTTCTTTTCTCCGGAAGCAACCGATGGACTGTACAATTCGGTCGTTTAAACTTTCCATTTCTGAAAAAAATTAACAAATTTTTAATGCAGTGATAACCGCAATAGTTAAACTTATTACCGGAGAGAGGCGCTAAACACATTTAGTCAAAATGTGATATTTTTTCCGTCGTTCTTTAACATGCATCTAAGAATCAATTTTTAACATTCTTTAATAATTGAGTCTAGCATCATGCATTAACTATCAAACACAATACCAGTATCTCGCGTAAAAAAAATATAATTGTTTAATTCATAAAACGATATATTATGAAATATTCTTGGTGAAAAATGCACACTAAATATAAAAAACAAGCAAATTTTAAGTAGTCTATATTTGTTTAAATGATAAAAGATATAATAAAAGTTGGATATTTATGTTAAATGTCTAGGTGAACTATTATGTCATTGAATTTAAGGTCAAATTCTATGCATAAATTTAGCTTAAATGTATGTTTCTTTTCTTTTTTTTTTGTTCCAACATTTTACATTCGACATATCTATATTATATATTGACACACATTTTATAGCATTATAAAATAAGCAATTGAATCAACATTTTAAATGGTGATTTGCAAACGGAAATAAAGTATGTATTTCTAAATTTTCTTGAGACACTCGCAATTGATGCTACTTCTAAAAAGGACTTGTAGGCTTAAATCGAATGTTTAAGTATTCCTTCATTTTAGCAAGGTAAATACAGATTTCATAGAGAAATTTTGATATTGTAGCAGACATGAGGAAGAAACATGTTAAAAAATGTAGAGCAAAATTCTTTTGCAGAAAAAATATTCCTGAATCTAGTAATCATTTTCTTCTCTCATTTGTTTGTCATATTTTTTTTTGTTTAATTTATGATACAATTCCAACTTTTAAAGGAAATTTCTAAACGACTACTACTTATCCTCATTACTTATTCTTAACATAATTCGATTGTAAATACATTCGAGAATATTGTTAAAGTTTTTTATGTGTTAATATTTCATTATCGGTCTGCGGGTATCGATGTCTAGTTAGCATTCTGAAGGTTCTTACATTACGTTATCGTCCTGTAGGTTTCGTTAACATTGTTAACTTCTGTCACAGAAACAGTTCGTGAAATTCTTAAAATCCATAAAGAAAGAAGTTACTAACCTGTTTCTGGGAATTGTGAAAGCCTCTGGATAAGTGAAGGCAAAAATCTGTCCGGAATAATCGGATCACACGATCCAGCGAATCCCATTTCTTGCAAGAATCCCTCTGCGTCGAAAAGTGACGCATCTAACGAGTACTCACTGTCCTGGCTAAGAGATTTAAGAAGAGTCAGCTTCCGATTGTCCGGATATTTATAATAGAAAGGGTACAGAGAGTTCGGTTGTACCACACTTTGCTGACCAAGGATTCGCTTCTCTGCGTTCGAAGCTTTTTCGGAATGTACGTCACTTTGCGCAGAGCTCCTCCCGTCTTCGTAGGACACATTGATCCCGGAATCGGGACTGCTGGAAACAATTTCTTCTTCTTTTTCATTTCTGTTTTCGATTTCAGCGACTTGGTGTTGTTCCATGCAGATAATGTTTTTGATGCTTTCTTTTGGATAAATGGGTTAAGCGACTTGGTTTTGTTCCATGCAGATAATGTTTTTGAGGCTTTCTTTTGGATAGTTGGGTTAAAACTGAAAGAAGAATTTAAAAAATATAGTTTTAGTTTTAATACATAGAAGAATATAAGAGCATTTAAATACATACTATATTAACTGCATTAAATTACCGACTTTATATAATAATTATATGTACTCGTATTTAAATACATACTATATTAACTGCATTAAATTACAAAAAATTTCACGCGCTTTTTCATGATGTCTCTATTGTTTTGAAACAAAAATTATTTATTTTGGCTGCAATAATTTTTTATATCCATCTGTTCAAAATAGCAAAATGTATTTTTATGGTGCTTCTTAAATTATTTTCATTATACAATTTTTTCAGTGCATTATTTAATGAAAGATGACGAGCTAAAAATTTCAATAATAAAAATATTTTAGGTGCAGGAATTTTTTTTTTGAAAAATTATTATTATTATTAAACAAATGCCAGCCTTTGACTATTAGGTCATTAGGCTTCTAACTCTCCAGTACTTCTTAACAATACAGTCAAAGTCTGTTAGTGCAGAGCACGTGTCCAAATGCGCAGCAGTCATGGCTTGTCTGGAGTTACATAAAAGACAATCTGATAAATAAGTCAGATTGAGGCAAATTTTTTTAAAGGATAATGTGCTATATTTATTTTAACAGAATTTTACTTAAAATCCATCTATACTATGCTCTTTACGGAGCTTAAACGCCTTCGTTTTGTGACCGAAGTTTGACATTTTACAACTTAATTAAGCATGGGTCTGGAAAGAATTCACAATTTGCATATTTTTGCTATAACTAAGAAGTTTAAAACCACTAAAAATTTGCTTGCGTAATATTTGAATGGCCCCTAAGGAGGTAAAAATTAAAAACATTTGATGGATTACTGATTGTAAATAGTGATTGGAATTAAAATTCCTCATATGAGACTGAGTCACATATTTAAACTTTCAAAGTTGAAGGATGAAATACAATAACTGTGTTATCATATTGATTTATTTCGGAAAAAGTAATCGAGTGATTCTGTAGACTGAGTTCTATCATCAACTTTATCTCGACTTAAGCGTGTATCAAACGTGCTTCATAACCACGTGTTTTGCATTTTATTCAAACTGCCAGGTGCTGCTTGCAAATAAGGTCGGTATATTTATTTATAAACACAATTGTTTTGATAAAGAAAACTATTTGAAGTTTCTTAAAAAAAATAAAAAATATAGATGTGCAGTGATCTTTCTTCGTGAGTGGATTCATTGCTGTTTGCGGTTGAAGTGAGTCAGATCAAGCCAGAACGGCGTTTCTGTGAAAAGACGTTTCAGCGTTGAATAGACGGAGCAACGTTCCAATCAAATCATCAGAAAAGAACGAATTAAAAAGAAAAAAGGGAAACACCTCTTAAGAGGGAGCTATTCCGCCATATTTAAAAATGCAAAGTTAAAAAAAAATTGAGTTTAGGTAGAATAAACTATGAAGTTTAAAATGCTGAAAAAATATCAGAATGCAAAGTAATTATACCAAGATTACTCAGAATTAAGCATTGTAAAAGTTATGCCATTATTTGTTTGCATTTTGACATTTTGAGAACATTATTTTTCAGAATATGAAACTTCATGATTTACTCTAGGATCCTCTAAACTCACTCTTCTCTAAACTTTAAATATTCAAATTCCAAAGGAGATGAAACAGAATATGACATGAAAAATTTCTCCAGCAGTGTGGCGTACTCTTAAGAGAATTTTCCTAATCGGTACAACAGAAAAATTTAACAATGAGTAACATATCGTGTCAGACTTGCATTAAATACCTTAGTTCGCAAGAAGTTCTCCAGTACTTATATCCTCTATAATGGCCTTTTATAGTTGCAAAATTAGCATTTATAATGGAACCAGAAAGCAATAGTTAAACAAGGTATAAGTTACTAAACAGTTCAAATTGTGTAAAATATTCATGGAGATCATATTGCATACGTGGTTCATATTATCATACCTACCACGGGTGACACCAGAACTTTCCCAACATGGATAAATAGACTTATATATGTATTTTTTAATCTTTTTATAAAATTGTATAATTATTTTTATTTATAAAAAACGAGTATTCATTGTAAAGAATAAGAAGAAACATATAAGAAGGCACATATTCCCTGCATAGAGTTTATGATTAGGAAGTGACTAATGACTTGTCCTCCTGGTGCCATCTTTACTTTTATATACGATCTTTACTTCTACGTACGGGACGTAATAATATTGCAAATCCATTGACAGGGTGCGTAGCGTTTTTAAAAAGTGCTTAAAGGTGCTTATTTTCAATTTTCGTTTTTTAAAAGCCTTTCAAAGTGCTTTTTTCATTGAGTGTTTTTAAAAAGTGATTAATTTTCCCTTTTTCAAAATGAGATTTTTCCTTTACCATGTTGATTTTCGCTACGAATTATGTTCACATTGTTCTATTTAACATTTTCACAATTAATTCAACTCCAATATATTTTGACATATTGTCAGTCCATAGCGTATGAAAACACCATTGTCAAAAACAATACCTTAATTTTATTAACCCCTGACTACCCTGCCTAAGTATATTTTTTGAAGTTCTTAAAAATATTTTTTGAGTGCTTAAAAGGTGCTTATTTTTTGTTGAATAATTTGGCTACGCACCCTGATTGAAAAGATTGATATTACGCAATATTTCTCAAAGTTTGGTCTTTTCAAAATTAAAAGTATATAGCAACGGTAAAATACTGCATGAATTAAATTTCAGTTAACATGAAATAAAAATTCCCAAGAAAACACCAGGAAAGACCCACCTCTGTGTATCGACCACTTTAGGGCGGTACAAAACCTTTAGGAGAGATAATCAAAACCTCTCCCTGGCAAACCTCAGCATCAAATACAGAAAAGGTAAAATATGGAAACATGAAAAAATATCGAAACAAAAAATATTAACAAAGCAAATAAGTAGATTCAAATATATTCAAAATATTTATAAGTGGGTCTTGTTTAGTGAGGGATTTTTTTTTACTATCTTTAAAAGATATTGGCAGAATTCAGAGTGCGCTAAAGAACATGCAGTCAATGATATATTTTTACAGTTGAAAGTTAAATAGAAAAAAAAAATTTTTAGTAAAAACTAAGCCTCTGAAACAAACAAACCTCTTCTCATTTTCTAAAGCTAATTAATTTTTATGATATAAAATGAAATGCAAACTTAAACAAAAAAAATACATTTATTTATTTAAAATAGGTCGATTGTTCGTAATTGGTAAATTTGTTTCATATGTCTTATAAATTGTTGTAATTGTCAATGTGTTAAATAAATTAATCTCGTGGATGGAGGCCAATGATGTAGAATCAAGAGCTTACGTAGTTAAAAGAAAAAGATAAAATATAATTGGAATGTAGAGTAAACGTCAAAAATGTGACAACCTCAAAAAACAAATCTCATTATCATTTAATGTAACAAATTAGATAAAAAGTAAGTAAAGTTGGCGGGTTGAATATAGTCTGTACAAAAAAAAAAGCATTGAATGAATTCTATTTCGAAAAAGAACTTAATTTTTTGATTAAAATTAAACACACAAAAAACTTGAATTCTGTCAATATTTTAGTTTAGCTTTACATAGAGTTATTCTCTGAGGAGCAATAACATTTTCATTAATTTATATTTTATGTTTTAAAACTTTTGAGACAACAAAAAATTTTGATTTCAGCTTGTTTGTGGAACCCATCAAAATTGGGGGGAGATAGAATCGAAAGCGGATTCGACTAAAAGATTTATATCCCTCCTCCAATTTTAAGAGATCAATCAAAAAATTCATTAATCAAAAATCAAGTAGAATCACTCAACTTAGGAGGAATTTTTCATTCCTTTTGTTGGTCGGCATGGTAAGCAAACAGAAGGGGCTAATTGTTACTCAGAAAGAAAAAAATAACAGACAGTAAAACAATTTCAATTTTAGCATACTTTCGGTAACAGTAAAGTATACATGACGACCAAAACTAATTACCAGTTATATTCTAAATATATAAAGCAAAATTAGGAATATTTTTTACCGACCAAAGGCCTCCTAGAAGATAGAAAACCTCAGCACTGGTTACTATAAACAATTTGATCCTTTAGTAGTCCAAACCTAATGACATCTTTCGTATTCCCCCCCCCCACTGCGCAGCTTAGTAGCCCGAACGTAGTGACCTCCTTCTTATTTACATCCATTGCGAAGTTTATGCTCGTTACGTCGGACTGGGATTACTGAATTGGTCCGTGCTGAGGCCTTCTCTCTTCTAGGAGGTGTTCCCAAAGAGCCAGAAGTATCAATTTTTATAGTGACCACAATATCGATTCTAAACTATTAAAAAAAAACTATTGACGTTATTACTGAAAAGCATTTCTTAAGAAAAGAATTTCAGAAAATAAGAAAAGCATATAAATGAGAGAAAAAAATTGCCTGTCGTTTCAACGGAGGTTTTTGTAAAATATTACCACTTACAAACCGGACTCCTACTTTGCACAAATGGAAAAAGTGCTTGAATGAAAAACCTGGTAGAATGTCTGAATATAAATTGAACAGAAATTTTCTTCAGCTAGGCTACTAATTTTGTCAGAAAATGCAACAACTGTTTGATTTCAAAAAAGATGCATTGATCGCACGATGTATAATTTTATATAATTAATACAGTTTGGTTGAAAGGAATATTTAGTTTTTTCTAATATCTGTGCTAAGAATGAATGATTTGAGTTACCAGTCTTTAATATTTCGTAATAGAGATGTTCAAAAAATAGAACGTTGGCATTTAAACATTTAAGTATCATTTATAACGTTTAAAACTAATAAAATTTTTGAGTTTGAGTTTTTGAACCAACAAATTATTTTAAACGAATGTAAAATTTATGTTTAGCAAACATAAGTTTTTTCGCTACACTAATGATTTCAAAGAAATAAATCTTAAATAATTATAATCATAACGAGGAAATTTTATTAATTAGCTTACTTTTAAATATTATCGGTCATAATATTTTTAAAAACAAACTGAATATTAAATTAACTCGAATGACATCTTTAATTAATAAAATTCTGCCCCCTCCCCACTTGAAACTTTGATCCAACATAAAATAATCATAACAGTCGGGGAATGATCACAACTTTTCCACTTAATGAATAAATGGAGAAACTAGAAGCACGTGTTTTAGAACGTGCATTTTCGACGAGAAAAGTGGCGATCGAGTGGCGATGAACAGACAAATTTTTAATCGCCATATTTTATATTTAGTCGCCCTTTAACTTTTTTGCGACCGTAAATTTTACCTTATACCCAATTACGTGCTAATTTATTATAGATATGCTTTTTTGAAAGCAAAGTGAAAGTAAAATCATAAAGCTTTTACTATTTCTAGTTTAAAAATATCTACCACTATTTACTTTTTCCGGATAATAAGTGATCTTACATCATACATTTTAACGAATTAGTCATTTCTTTCGAAAACAGATGAAATAGTTTTTATACCACTTTTTCAACTCTTTTTTTTAAATATTTTTTATTTTTAAATTACTGGAAAAAATGCTTTTTAAACTACTACTATAATACAAAATTTTGAAAAAACAATTTCATTATTTTTAATTAAGAATTTAACTTTGATTTCATGCTTTAAATAGTTATTACTCAATTATATTACTTTAAGAAAAATCCTGTTCAGAAATTTTCAAATTCTCCTACAAATTTAGTAAATGAGAAAAAAAATTATAACCAATTTTTCTAAGGACCATGTGAAAATCGAAAATGAGATTTATTATTGTTTTATAAATATCTATTTCAGAACTAAACAGTGAAACCTTATAACATATATTCCCTTAATTTAGTATTTTTTAATTACTGTTTCATAAGATTTATGCCCGTTTTAGTAGTGATACTTGTAACAAACTATCGTTTAAATAATGCAGGTTCGTAATAAAGCAAGTAAACAAAACTCTTTGGAACAAAATACTCTCATAATTCTAGAGAAAATATTCAGGCAATTAGGATTTGGTCTTTGAACTAGACATCTGAGGATCTCAGTAATTCTATCGAAAAAGTTAGAATTAATGAGATCCTCAGTTTGCTTATGGAATAATCCATTTTTCTAAATAAAAAAAATGGCGATTTTTCTAATTCGTCTTACATTACAACACTAGTGATGGAAGAAAAAAATGCCTGTATCCTTATATCTAGTCATCATATATTTCATCCTTGTTTACCAGGATAAAATGCTACATTGCCTTTTATTAAAAACGCTGTAGACAAGTATAAATAATTTTACAAAATATGCAACACTTTAATAAATTTTCGTCTTTTTCAACTGAAGAGTTAGAGCAAACAGATACAAAGCTTTAAAACTTACATGAGTTCAAAAATTTCCGTAACTTACATGCTGATGAACAATGATGCCTACACCTGTTAGCAACCAGAACAATTATTCTATACTCAAGATTCTTAAACACTGTGTTCTGAATCAATAAGGATCTAACTACTGCTAGAATTTACTTCTCTTCTAAGGCTTTTAGGTTGCGGCCCAGAGACTTCTTCGTAATCAGAGATAAACCTAAGCAGGTGTTCAAATTTCGCCTTAAAAACAAGAGAAGTAAGAATATTTCACCTGCATTCTCTGTGGACTTAAGGACTCGTGACATTCGCCGTTGGTTTGCAAATGCACTTGGCTCCAATCGCCTGATGAATCCCTTCAGTGAAAACTGACCTTGTACTTGGGGAAAGTTGCCATCTTATATTTCAGAAAAAGAAGGCCTAATTCTGTTTAGAATGAATAGAAATTGAGTACCTTTTCTGTAATTTTTGTATGATCGAATTTCACTAAATAAACATTTTTTCCCTTCCTGTTTTCATTTTTCGTGTTTAACTTTTCACGTTAAGCACATTAACTTTATAAGTAGTTAGATTAATAGTGTTTATTAATCATGCGCATTGGTTTTTGACAGTTAAAGAAAATACAAATAGAAATTAGGAAATAAATTTGAGTATAAATGCTTCTTCTCTGGCAACACTTCCTGAAAAATTAGTTTAACATTGAGCAATAATATCAGAACCTCAAACCAAATTAAAGTTTGGTTTGATTAGTTAACACCTTAAATTTGCTACAACTTTAAGGTGTTAAATTTAACTGTATTGAGCCATCGTGCCATGTAATCAAGTTTTAGAAATTTGATAATATGGTTCATCTTAGAAATTGCAGTTAATTTGAAAGATATTATGATTCAAAGTAGGTGTCAAGTTAAACAAGTTTATCGCATATATTAAAAAAAATTTCATAGTTCAAAATTTTTAATACTGTAAGTAACATTATTGGTCCATTTACCAAGATGTCTGGTGGCAAAGGAATCCTTTTAAATTAGGACCGAATGTGTCGTAAAAATATATCTTAATTGGACCACTTGTTACGCATAAGTTCTACATTCTTCGTTTGGCTAGTTAGGTGACAAGCATAAATGATGTTACGCTTGGAAGGGAAGGCTTTGAAAATTGGAACAGTTTGCAGATTGTGACAAGGTAGGAGATATCAAAAAGTCTAACATATCACATTTTGGTTGGAGTTAAAAAAAAAAAAAAGCAAATTAAATATTTTGATAGTTTTTTCCTTTATATTTTTCATCAAAAAATAAGAGCACATCTAACCATCATCATTATTGTTGTTATTCTTACAAACGCATGGTTGAAATTTAAAATGAAATTAGAAATATGATCTATAACATGTGTTTTGTTTCTGAATAGCTTGCATATGTTTATGTAATATAGCGTGACCTTTTTCTTAGGGTTTCCGATCTTAGAAGATCGTGAATACTTTTTCCATTCTTCCATTTCTTTATTATGCTGCAGTTGATTTTGGAATTTCAAAATTGCCGTGATGGCAGAATATGAAACCTTTTTTCATCTTCTTTAATATGCAAAACAGGAGTAGTTAAAGGCAAGTTTTTTCCTGTCTTCATTCTGAGGCTTATAAAATAAACACTAATATTTTCACCTAGATAATAGGATTCTATTCTAATTCTTTAAAAATTAAGCAAAGTGAGTAAAATATTACTATTTATTAAAGTAATACAGATGAAATCACTTTTTTTAGGTTACAAAAAACTCATGACTTACGTTTAATAAGTTGTGAATAATTTGAAAACTAATATTAAGTATTATAATTCTTGAAAGAAAAATTTTAATAAGTAAGGTTTATCCTATGCTTTATCATAAGGGAAAACTGCCTAATACTGATTCGGTTCGGATAGTAAATCATTTTAATTTATGAAATGTCCATGAGATAAATTATTTCAATGAAACATTTCTTGAAAATCAATGTGAATAAATTACAAAATAAATAATTTAAAAGATAACAGAGAAAAATACTCCAGTTTTAAAGAATTCAAAATAGGGAAATAATAATTGGAAATATCAAGATAGTTGCTAAATGATTTATCTCTAAACACAAAACGTTTTGTGGTCAGGATTACCACTTACTTACTATTATTTTAAATGTAAATGTAGGGATGCCAATTACTCCACTTTCTAACTAAAATGTTAATAAATTGGTAGCAAATCAAAAAGTAAAACTTGCGGAATAAGGATAATTACCCCCACTCTTCATAAGAGTAACCACGTGATAAGTGCAACTAAGCAGCATTTAGATCACTTTAAATATTTGAAATGTAGTTGTAGAAAAATGTCTTAAAATGAAAAATACTAAACTAAAATTAACTTAACCCTTAAGTGGGCCATTTATTTATAGTATAGATAAATAAAAGAATTTTTGCGATTGAAACTCATATAAGATTAGTAATTGATATAAGAAAAGAAAAACTCGTTTAGCTTATAAAAATTAATTTAAATTTTAATGTCATTTTTTTTGGTGGTAAGTATATTTACCACAACCTATTGACTTTTATTTTTCCTTATTTATAAAATAAATTTTATAAATGATACAAACTTCAGAAATAATTATGTATTTTATAACTTGTATACGTTTTCCTATACTAAAGAAATGGTTGCCAATTTTATTCAAACGCACTTCAAGAAAGCTGATGTTAGTAACAAATGGAAACCTAAACTTAAAGTGGTAAAATAGTTAACATAGACTTTAAAAATTGGTGGTAAGTACGCTTACCACGGCTTTAGAAAGGGTTAAATTTCGTTACCGGTAGAAAATATTTTTTACAAAGCAGGACAAGTTGGCCTCTCTGCTAATGACTTATAATCTATCTTCCTAAATTTAAAATAGTCAACATATCTTCCTTATAATAGACTGAATGAAAAGGATATATTACCTAAGTTATAAGTAACATTTGTTCAGTTTATGTTTAGAGCTCCCTAGTTTTGTATGGATAAAATCAGAAAATATAATACTCAATAAATAACTGTAATGTTTAAAAAAATGAACACAAAATCATACGAAGAATCCTTATATAATAATATTCCTAAAGTTTATAGTTAAATTGTGAAAAATCTACACATAATTGATGGATATGTAACAGTTAAGTTAGGTCCTAGTTTTGTGAGGAAAAAACATGTTTTCTAGGAGTTTTAGAATTAAAATTATGAATTCATTATGTCATCTTAGATGTTATTGACTCAAAAATGACACTTTTCAAAACAATAGTTTTGTGAAGGGTCCGTTTCTGCAACAAAATATTTTGTGAAGCGTCAGTTTTTTCGATAAAATATTTTGCAAAATTTCGTTTTAACGATAAACTATTTTGTGAAGAGTGCGTTTAAGAAAATCTTTTATGGAGGGTCCGTTAACAGCCCCAAATTTATCCTAAATAAGCCTCTGATTTCCATTGACATAGTTAAAAAAAAGTTATGTAAATAGTATTTTTAATGTAGTTCAGAACTCATATCATCAATTAAAAATTTGTGAAAATTTCATTGTTCATTTAAATATCATTTTTAGTGTTCGGTATCATTCAATTAAGGGTACGTTTTCGCGATATAATATTTTGTGACGGGTCAGTTTTTTCAATAAAATATTTTGTGAAAGGTCCGTTATAATGATAAACTGTTTTGTAAACGGTACGTTTTTACAATTGAAGCTTTCATGAGGGTCGGTTAACGGATCAAATTTTTTTCCTAAACTGGCCCCTGATTCCAAAGAGATAGATAAGTTAAAAAAAAAAAATAGATAAAACAATTGATGTAAATAATACTTTTAATACAGTATAGAACTCATATCAACGATAAAACATATGTCAAAAAATCATTGTTTATTCAAATATCATTTTTAGAGTTCGATATCATTCATTTGAACTGTTTTCACAATAAAATATTTTATGAATTGTGTGCGGTCTGTTTTAACTATGAACTACTTTGTGAAGAGTACGTCTTTACGATAAAGGCTGTTATGGACCCCAGTTTCTCCTAAACTGGTTCCTGATTCCATAGGCATAGTAAAGTAAAAAAATTAATTGATGTAAATAGTATGTTTAATGTAGTCTAGAACTGATATCATCGATCAAATCTCAGTCATGACAAGTTCATGGTTCATTAACATTAGATATTTAAAGTTCAATACCATTCATTCACATTGCTTGAGACAAAATATGAAAAATCATATGATATTATGAAGCATTATATATTATCTGCAAAAAGTTCACTGCTCATTAATTTATCATGATTAAAGTTCGATGCCATTCATTCTCATGACTTGAGACAAAAACTGAAAACTCATGTGACATTATGAAGCATAATCTTGAAGTGTGACATTAAGGTCCATTTGAATAGAATAAACAAGGATCGCCTAATAATATATTCGTCTGCAGAAGACGAAAAATATGAACCTAAGGTCGATAAAACACGAAAAGGGGAGAGCCGGATATGGTATTTAAAAGGTTAGGCATTCATGCATCTTTTTGCTTGGTTCAAGGGTCACTGAACACTGCTATTCACTATTCATAGCATGTTTAAATAAAAACTTCCTTTGATTAATTTATTTAGGACGTGTAGAACAATACACTGTCAAAGAAACAAGCAACCTTTTTATGAATTTAAAATTCAAAGTAGAATAAACTTTACATTTCACATTTTATTTACTTGCAAAGATCTAAACGTTCTGTCAAAATTCAGAGAGTTGCGGCTAGGCGTTAAAATATCAGTGTAATTATAAAGGAAAGAATATTTATTGGATATCTTAAAATAACAATGTTATAAATTTTGTATAATTGCATACAAAAGCACGTCGCAACTTATTTATAAAACAAAATCAAGCTAAAACTAATGTATTTCTCAGTCTTCAGATTTTATTGATAACCGCTTTCAAAGTTCATATTAGACGTTTTATTTATTTTTTTTAATGGAAATATAGATTTTGTATTTAGAAAATAGCTTAACTAACAAATTATTGATGTGCAATTATTTATCTTAAAAAGAAACTTACGATATTTTATTTTAATGCAAATAAAAAATAAACAAAGGCGTGATTTATTTCTTACATTGTATTTATTTATTTAATTATTTTGCGTAAACGCCGTATACATAATTTTTTTTTTTTTACCAGCGTAACATTTTTATTTTTATAAATGGATTAAACATTCTTTTGGCCAAAAATGATTTTATATCATTATGCAAGTTGCGTAAAATCCCACTACTATTTTTATAGAATTTTTAGGGGTAGAAAACTGGTCTGAAATTTTTTTAATAACATTTATGGTGAAACAGTCCAAGTTCTTCACAGTTATTACGAACTCTAATTATAAGTAAAAAATATAATTATTTTAAATGGACTAAAATTTTTATAAGTTAAATCTCAAATTTAGTATTTTATTTACCAAACAATATACCCATTTATATGTTGTAGAAAAATCCACGACCGCCTAAACACCGACGTTTCAAATTATTATATTAGTTTTAATTAGTGTTATTATTATCATTTTATTATTATTATTTTCATATTATCAGTATTATTATCGCTATTATTTTGGGGCCTGTCCAGACATTTTGTGAAAGGTCCTGTTTTTTGTAAAATTGTGAAAAAACTACTCATAATTTGTGAATATATATAAAATTAGCGTTAAGTCACATTCTTTAAACCAGGGTCCTGCTTTTGTGAATTTGTGCAAATAGGGTCCTGTTATTGCAAAAATTGCTAAAAACATTTTCAAGAAGTTTTTAAATTGTAAATACAATTATTTAAATTCTGATCAACACAGAATATTCATTTCGGATGAATAATAGAAACAAAATCGTTCACATTTTCAATAATTTCAATTGACATATTTTAAATAATACAACTTAGTTATGAATCACTTTTCATGTGTTACGCATTAAGTAAATTTAAACAATTCTTAAGTTTATAATATTTCATTTAAAAAATTGTAGAAACTAA